GCCTCCCCACCCACAGGAAGGTTCACGAGGGGCTGGTGCAGTGCAGTGTGATTTGGGTGGCAGTCATGGAGACTGCTGCCCCCGCAGCACGGTAATGGATAAGTTGACGAAGATGAATGGATGGACAGAAATATAATCTTATTTTAAATATGTCCGATATCCATGGACTATTCAATATTATTACTAATGCTACTAGTTACTATTCAGGGTTAGTCCAAATGGTGCTTGAACACTTCATACAAAAATTAAATTTTTGGCCAGGTTCATCAGAGTTTTGTGTGTACCTTCCAGTGGACTCACCACCTGTATAAAAAAATACAGTCCGATATCCATGGACTATTCAATATTATTACTAATGTTGTTACTATTCAGGGTTAGTCAAAATGGTGTTTGAACAATTCATACAAAAATTTAATTTTTGGCCAGGTTCATCAGACATTCAGTTTCGTGCTGAGGTCAGAGGTGAGAGGATAGGCCGGGGGTCTACAACCTGTGGATCTCTTTGCACTGGTTCACTGTAAGATCATCGTCGTCTCTGAAGAGGTGCTGTGACTGGGACACAGCCTCCAGCTGTGAATCCAAATGACCTTACAACAACTTTGCACCACAGCATATAAAAATAGGAAATGCTTGAGCAGGTGAGGTCTGATAGGTCCAGAATCCTTAAGCTGACTAAAGAGACTGCGACGTCTCCCCTGTGTTCAAACACACACACACACGCTGATGATCCTTTTCCTGCCTCTGCTTCACCCTCTCTCACTTGCTCTTTTTTCCCTCACTGCCCCTGGTTCTGAACCTGACATTCCTGTTGGCCCCGGCTCTTTGAAGTGGCTTGTTGGAGTGGGCTCCCGTTTCAGGGGCCGGGACCGGCGAAAGCCGATCTGTCTGGCTGAGGAGAACAGCCCTGGCCCAGGGGTTAATCAGCAGACCCAGCACACTGCCCACTCTGTCCACCGGCGCGCACACATACACACGGACACAAACGCAAACACAGCTTACACTGTCCCCGCAGCACAGCTGTAACAAGACCAGCCAGATTTGGAGGTTAAGAAAGACGGCCGCGTCCCAGGCGCTTTGAAGTCGACTGGCAGCCTCTAGGATTTAGACTCTTAGAGACGAGACGTGGCCCAGATTCAAAAAACATACAGGGTCATGCAGTGTAAAGGTGTGTGTGTGTGTGTGTGTGTGTTCAGCTCGGGGAACTGACTAATCTCTATTTTTAAACCTCTGCTGAATAGTCAGCTCAGGTTGTTACCATGAAGAGTTTTTTTTTTCAATACCTAAACTATTGTTGAATTTGTAAATAAATAAATAAATAAATAATGCATCTCCCAGGATCACCTCAGTTAACAGCCATACATGCAAGAACAGTTGGGATAAATAGGAATTTTGAATGTACATTAACCCTTTATTAACAAATAATGAAACCATTAGCTGGGTGCATTTAGCGTAGCCATCATGCATGTTCATATTCAGATTGCTTTTATCTTGACTTAATGCATCAGCGGTGTTATTGTCGGGAGTCATTCCACAAAATAATCAGCTGGCAATAAACCCTTAATAAAGAACAGAAAAGCAGCTAGCGGCTGCATCCAATCATCCAAAGGTGTAGACTAACAATTTTCTTTCCTTTCGAAGCGCTCATTATGAAGTCTAGTGCATCATTACTCTAATAAAGGCAAGGACACAGCAAAATCAATATGGAAAACTTCATGGTCATTTGGGTTTTTGTTTTTTTTATCATGTTGTATTGGATTTCTAAAGGCAGCTCAGTGGCATTTTTTAGAATTCATTCCCGTGGCGGTTTACTGCAATCTTGATGAGCTCAGCATTTTTAAATGTAGCTACTATGACACTTTTCTGGCCATCGGAATCCATCAAAAACATTTGAAGCTCCAAAAGCCTGTGCCAACTTCACGTCAGTGTGAAGTAGTCCATTATAAAAGACACCCGAAACTAAATCAGAGTGATTTAAAAGTCTGTTTGTTCTCCACTATCCACAGATTCAGAGTGAATATATGGGATCGTTGACAAGTCTGTTCTGCACCAATCCACTTATCTCCCATGTAGCATCTGGGCATGGATATGATGGAGTGGACACAATCCAACATGGCACCATGACAAAGTCAACAGTATAGAAAGCTCCACACGAGGATAACTGGCTCCAACACCTCTCACTCCACACTGTTGGGGTTCAGCGGTGGCTGTGAAGCTTCAGTCAACACGACATGGCAGCACACCACCAACTGAACACAATCCTGGGAGAAAGGTGTGTGTTTTCGCAATTTGCTTGTGTAAATCATTTGTCTAAAACATAGGACAGTGTTTCTATTATGTGTGTTAAGCGGTGACTATCGCTCACCACACAGTCCCAAACATTAGATTGTTTCATATATTTTGTTATTTTATTTGCACTCGTTTCATGCGGCGCTTCTTGAAAACTCAGACAGACGTGATAGATGGTCTGCAGGTGTCGATGTCTTTCACGGCCGCTGCTAGTCGTCTTGCTTCTGAGTGCATTTCCAGACTTGACCCCAGATGCACATTAAATGTTCCAGCATGTTTCCCTCTCTGTTTATTCACTGTGTGCGTGGGTGTGGGGTAATCGTGTAACACCGAGGGACAAATTCTGTCCTCAAGTTTGATGTTGTTTTGGCGAACGTTGAGATCGTCAGAGCTCTGTCCTGGTCCTCGGGGAGACCATCTTCATTTGTGTCTTTTGTTTATCAAAATATGAATATTAAGACGGGCCATTTCTGTGGTCCTAATGAAGCAGCGTCGCATACCCACACATCTGCACGTTTCCATGCTGCTCCGTAATTCCTAATTTCCTGCTAGTTGCACGTCATGAGAACTGCGATTTGCATATTTGAAAAAGGTCTTCAGTCGGTGGAGTCTCCTCCCCCATCTCCCCTCTGTATTCAGATATTTTTGTTTATTGTTCATTTGCATTTTTGTGTAAACACCATTAATGTAAGTGCCTGTTGCTGTCATACAAGTTTAAATTTACATGTGTTTGATGCTCAGGACTCCAAGACAAGGATGCTAATTGTTCCCACCAATCTGCCGGCTTGCTCTTTAACAGCCGTGCCACAGCACCGTGAGCCACTCATCAACTATTCACCTCAGCCTCCGACAGGTGCTGCTGCTGACTGAGGTGTTTATACCCTCAGCGTCTCCAGCACAAAACTTTAATATTCATGTCGGCCGATAAAGGGAATTACTTCTTGATTGCTCGGAGGAACATTGATGCATCTGGCAGATAGTGAAGAGCATTAGTTTAAGGATTCAGATCAGGATTTTTATTTATTTCTTTATTTCTTCAGTCGTGTTGAACTTTCTCTGGGAGCAAAGTCTATTAACAGCAGTCATTTCTTATCTCACTCGGCACACATTTGTTCCTGTGCATGCTAAAATACAGCTCACCGTGTTGCACGACCTGGTGGGGATATTAGTAAATAAAAAGCCAGTGCCCACAAAAACAAAAACACATAGGCGGCTCATGGAGAAGTAGTGATTCCATTGGGTCGTGCCTAATTGGCAGGATTGGTGCATTAATTCATTATGACAAGACCTGGACTATGTGGTGTCCACTCTTAGGAATCCATCCATCCATCCATTTTCATCCATCCATTTTCATCCGCTTATCCGTTACCGGGTCGCAGCAGTCGCCACCCAAATGATACTGCACCGTACCAACCCCCCTAAACCTTTCTGTGGGTGGTGAGTCCACTGGAAGGTACCAACCGCCCTAACCGGGATTCGAACACCAATGACAGAGACATTGCCTCTGGGCCAAAGCAACACCTCTTAGGAATAGAATTCTATTTTGAATAGACTTAATTTGAATGTTTTTTTTGTTTTGTTTTGTTTTTTGTTTTTTGTTTTTTGTTGTCTTTTTTTATACAAAGCAGGTTTTAATCTGTGGAAATTGATTTATAAATAATCCTCACCTACTTTTTACTTACCTGATTAGATTAAGAGGGGGCTCAAACCCATGTGAGCTGGGGGCCTCTAGTGCCATCATCATCTTTTGGAGAAACACATCAGAGACTGAAAAAAAAGCAATTTATCATTTTCCTTTAGGCCAGAAAAAAGCCTCATTTTTGTAAAAGTTTCAAACATTTAATCTCTAACAACTGTGCTAACATTTTTTTAACTTCCAGGTAACTTTCAAATAAAACACTTGTGTGTCCAGCAATTGTCAGTAAACATCAACATCACTGATCCTCAACTGGCGGCCCGTGGGCCAAATCTTGCCCTCCAAATCATTGAAAATGGCCCAGGATTGTATTCCAAACTTGTGCAGATCAAAGAGAAAATATGGTGCGGTCCCCGCTATTAAAGCAACTAAAATAAAACAACAACTGATACTTCTTACGTATCAGTAATCCCCACCATTTATGACTGGATTCCATTTGCATTACATTAGACAAAAATTTGATTTTTATTTTTTTCATTTGATTGTCCGGAAAAATTCTGACAGATATAGTTGGTGAACCTTGAACTACATTAACCACAATAAAATCTTTACATTATACAGACATCTAGCATGGACAAGATGTGGGAGGTTCATGGGCTTCAAGTAGTCCGTGGGCCAAGAGTTTGATATCCCTGGGTTAAGTAAACATAAAGATGACACTCATTAACACTCATGAAGGGAATATAGCAAAAACTGATGAGAAAAGTATTTGATATTTCAATAGTATATATGTCACTTTAGTCCACTATTGATGCAACAAACAATTTTCCACCCTTTATGTCAAAGATGAAGGTTTGACATGATCCAGTTTGATGAAAACAAGCTGTGTTGTCTGCCTGTGACCCGAACCTGCCGGGCCTCTTCCACTGACACTGGCATCTCTGGGTAAAGAATGACCCTCATTTCTGTGGACACGGCACTGTGTCCGCTCCCCCGGATCTGGGCGCCCATTCCATTTCATGGTGCATCGCCCTTGCGCGTGATTATGCTGTGCTTTCAGGTGCAGAGGAGGAAATGTTTCGTGAAACTGATGTCCCTGTCAGCGCCGTGCGACTCTCCCTTCTTTCCCGGCGAGCATGTCAACCCGCTGATTGGTGAATTACCATTCCAATGTGAAAAGTGGCTCCGCCCTTGTCCCCAGCTCACTGGCCCTGACAGCAAATGAGGAGCTGCATATGTTAGAGAGGCGATTCCTCTCCTGGCCTCATTTGCATTGGCTGAATGGAAATCAAATGGTTTAATGTTGAGATGAAGCTGGTAAATAGTGCTGATGTTAACACATTAAACACACACACACACGTGTGAATGCACGCTGCACTTCTGCATGAGTACCACAGGCATCAAACCAAGAGGATATAATGTTTGCTAGCAAGTAAATGAGGGATGACAGGCTCAAGGATTTGCCTAGTCTCCCCTTTAAAGCCAAAAGTGATGACATCATTTTAGTTCTGAGAATGTGCTGCATGCATAGAGTGGAGCTGAATCCCAGCCAAATAAAATATGCATAGCAAGGAGAAGCGGATGATTTGGTTTTGGATATGTGCAGTAATTAATTAGTCATTAGTTAATTCTTTGGCCAGCTGAGACAACAAAATAAAATGCAGTCAGCAGTTCTGTTAACTTAATACTCCAAACTCCTGTGTACAGGATTCTTCAGTTGCTGTTTACTATTGTAAATATTGCCAAAAATAAAAAGCAACAATGTGCTTATTTAAATAAAATCTACATGCACAGTATTATTTTCCTGCTTGTGCAAAATCTATTGGGGGATATGCAGTGGGAATCATCAGAATTTGTTTTTTATATATTGTTATAACTTGAACCATATAACTTGTTGAACCATGTTGGTTCAACATGTTGCAACAAATGTATAGGTAAATGTGAGGACAAGTCATGTTAATAGACATTGTATAATATTTGCATCTGCTCTTAGGCAAGGCTTAATGGCTAAATATTTGGCAACTCAATAGGACATACTTGTCTGCGAGTGCACTCATATGAATGTGTGTCTCTCTCTTATTGTCTGACAGAATGGCATGCAGCCCTGGGTTTCTCCTTTGGGCGTGGGCTGGTCTATTCTAGACTGGAGACACTGACTCAGTAGTCGACTGGAATCCTTCAGGGCACCAGGGACATCTGATTCCACCACTGTCTAAGCCTTGAACTAAATGCCTCTGCATTATTCATGTGTATATCACTTTATTGCTGTGCAAGGTTTTCACTTAAAGTTTATGCTGTACCATTTACTGAATGCTCCTCCCCATCCTCCGTAGGTGTCACATAACAAACTTTTACTAATCATACTTTATCACTTGGCCACTATTAACGATTGCATGGATGGTGTGGTGCATGAGGTTTTGGATGATTACGTAGATAAGGTCTTGTCTTCAGAGGAAGAAAGTGAAATAAAGAGTTTCTTCTTGAACTCACCAAGCAGTTGAGATTTGTAGATTATTCTTCTTCTTATTGCAGCATGTGTTTAACAGGCAACAAGACAGGAGAACCTTACAATTTGTAATTTTAGTGATTAACTTTCTTTAATATCAATAAATGAATAATTATTTTGTAATAATTATAATTTATTTTTTCCCTCAAAATGAACATGTTGAGCACAAAGCTCAAAGTACAGAAATTAAGTTGTGTTTTGTTTTATTTTGTTTTGTATTTATTTATTTTACAAAAGATAAAACTGTTGGTAAAGCTTGAATTGCGTGATAAACGGCGAGATGACGATAGCGCGTCTTACGACAGCTTCCTAGGTTACGCAAACTACGTAGTTGGGGTCAGCTACACTACAAAGTTATCATCGGAGCTTTCTGTTGGATTATTAAATTAGCGATTACCTGCACAGCATTAAGAGACGGCGTGAGTAACCATTTTAATCTAACTGTAGATTTTATCTGTTTCCACTGAGACTGTTGAATGTTTAGTTTAGGTGTAAAATTTCATTTTTTTTCTGCGTAAGTTGAACATGGCAACATTTAAGGTAACTACTCGTCCCTCGTTAGCTGTTTTGATGGTAGCTCATAGCTAATATATGACGCTATATTCATTGGCTGTTTCCGTATTGAAGTCACTGTTTGGGTTCGTTGGAATCTTTTTATTGTGTATTGTAGTTGTACGAAGTAAACTAGATGGGGCTGAGAAGACTTTTAATGTGTGTGTGAGTTAATTTTGCTGTATTTATTCCTCTTCAGAAGAAGATTACTGGAAAAAAAATCTCATGAAGATGGCTTTTAAAAGGCAGACCCAGTTATAATGTTCTACATTTCTAGTGGTTTGTATTGAAACTGAATCAATTTCTCAGTGTTATATTTCTTCATAGTGTTGTATTAAAAGTCCACATGTGTACTAAACACTATGCAAGTATCTTCATGTGAATTACTTGCTTTAGTGACCAACAGAAATGGCCGAAAAATAATCTTTTACAGTTGTTTTGGTGAACTAATCAAGATCTACACTACAAATTTGGCCATGATATTGTGTAAAGTTTAAAGAGTAGATCTTTGTAAAACAAAATGTGCACTACTGGGAGAGAAGGCCTATCCACACACCTGTAAACATCAGTGAGCTCTGAAGAGGTGGATGGGTTTGTATCTTCACAAGGACCTGAGCAGGGGACACTCACACCACTGCTATTGTCAAGAAAGTACAGCATTGCCTATATGGCCTCAGGCTGAGTGTCCATAGTCGCCTGAGGCCGTACACATGTTCTCAGGGACTTCCACCGGGCTACCGTTAGAGACTATCTTGACAGTCTACTTCACCACCTACTATTGGGTACTAGCATGGAGTGCAGCTTGTAGCACGCTATTTTGAAATAGAATGATATAGTAAGTTATCATTAGATCCCACAGATCATTGGTTTTCAGTGAAATGAGGATCACGTGAAGGATTACAGCTAATTCTCATCCTGTTGGAGCCTTATATGTAAGTTAATTCCTTAGATCGGCTGATCTGCTTAATCAGCTCTTTTCTTTCCCTTGATGCAAACCAATTGCTGGAGAAATGTTTTTGTCCTAGCAACGGATAAACATAAACACAAGCAGAGTAAGATGGGAGCTCAATGGAATGCCAGGCTGTTTATGTGGAGTATTTCTGAAGATAATGTGGCATGACTTGTAGTTTTGATCTTGATGGCTATAACAAAAGACAAAGAAAGATACTAAAAGGAAAACTTTGTGTTAATTATGCTGGCAGAAAGAACAGCATGATGGGGAACAGAGACAACAGTTAAGCT